TGCTGAGCGTTGAGGACTGCTGGGCCACGCCAAGTGCTGATCCCTACCAGGACGTGCGGCATGAGCTCATTGAGCAGGGGTGAGTGAAGTGCCTCCAGCACATCTGGTCTCCTTGCACCGTGAGCACAGCCACGTCTCTGCTGGGTGCTAAGGACAGGTTGCTGTGAGAGAGCAATGAGCAATCACACCATCGCTGCTCATAGATGGAACCTGTGGTGGACACCATAACTCAGTAGGTGGAACAGCCCCATAGATGAGCCCCCTAACCACTCTGAACTGAGCCCCCTCTCCTGACCTTGCTCTGCTGCCAATAGTGCTGCCTTCCCTCTAGCAGTGCTCCTGGCCAGGTGGGGAGGCAAAGGGCAAGGAGGGGAGAGGGGAGACCTTGCTGGGATGTGCAGAGAGATCTCGGCTGCAGAGCTCGTGTTAGAGGTGGCTGCAGCCAAGCTAAACCCAGAAACATGGACATCCAGTGAGCAGGAGCCACCACCAGACCCCTGCAGAGCAGCTGTGGCCCCACAGAGCAAGACATGAGCCAGCTCCTGTGCTGGTGGCAGCTCCTCCCTGAGCTGGGCACAAGGCAGTGTGCCAAGGAAAGGCATCCCTGCCAGCACGGCAACAGAAACAGTCCTGTTCAGCAAAGCTTGGGGCTGCGCTTGGTGCCTGTGTGCTCTGGTGTCCCAGGCTGGGATGCTCCCCATTGTTTGCCACCTGCTGACTGAGCCATCGTGTCCCAGGTGTCCCCACGATGAGACAGTGACATACCTGAACGCCATTGGAGAGAGCACTGCTGCCAAGTTCAGCTTCCAGATGTTTCAGTTTGTTGGTTACCCCGAGGTGTTCCTGCACTGCCGTGTCCGGCTCTGTCTCCCCAACAGCCTGGAGCCCTGTACCAAGGTGAGTTCTCCCAGTGGTCTGCACCATGACTTGGCCAGGCAGGGGGACCTCCCTTCCCATGGCCTTCTGTTTGGGAAGGGGCTCTGCTCCAGTTTCGGGTGCCTCAGCATAATAAACATCTCCCAGCAGCAGGAGCTCAACCCAGAGCCGTGAACTAAAGGTACGAGGGCTTGAACCCACCCAGGGAGCTGCTTTCCCTCTTCCCTCTGTCTGTTGGGTATTTGCAGGAAGAGAGGTTTATGCTAGGACTTGAGGAGGAGCAGGCTAAGGTCCTTCAGGATGCAGCTCCTCTCATGCTCTGAGGTCTTGGCTGCTCCCAGGCTGCAGTCCCGACTGTGCCTCTGCCAGGGAGAGACCACCAGGATAGCTCTTGACCCCGGGAGTGGTCTTCTCCCCTGCCCTCTGGTCCCATCACCCTTTCCTTGGCTTTGTCGACAGCAATGCCCCCGGCACTGGAGGAGCAAACGGGCACTGGCGGATGACTACAATAAGATCGTCTCCTATGGGCCCATCCATCTGCTGGCTGCTCCTTCCTTGGGAGCAGAGACCCACCGTTCCAGGACTGACCAACAGGACCTGGAGGGTATGTATGTCCCTCCAGGGATGACAGGAGCACCTCACAGACCCTTGCAACTTTCTAAGCAGTGCAGGTTTATTAGAAAGGGCTGCTAAACTCACCGCCCTGCGCAGAAGCCTGGAGTCTTTCAGGTGTCGTGGCCACACACGGTGCACTCCAGAAGACAAACCAGCAAAGAGCTCCCAGAGGAGCTGGCTGGGAAGGGAGCAGGAGCCAGAAGGCTGGGATTTTACACTGGACCCAGCAAGGCAAGCTCCTTTTGAGCACCTAGGTCAATCCAGGGAATCCAAGGAGGTCCAGGACCAGGGCTGGCGGCAAGCTCACCTACAGCATAGCTCAGACCAGTCAGGAATGCTGAGCTAAACGGGGCCTGGGCAGTGGGTGTGGGTGGAGGTGGGGTGACCAAGTCCTGTTAGTGGCCTCAGGGCCCCGAAGCACCCCCAGCTCTGGAGATTACCTCCTCCAAATCTGTCCCGGCCAGGAGATGCCATGCCAGAGGTCAGCGCTGGCATGGAGGACCCAGACACGTACGTAACCAGCCTTTCTCCTCTTTGGCAGGCCCCAGCCCAT